TATGTCAACAATGAGACCAAACAACAGTTGCAGGCAACACTCAAGGGCCCTTCAGTTTACCTCTAGGGCTAAAACCTCAGCAGGGCTAAAAAGGGAAACTGTGTAATAGCATTACTGTCCCCTCATGGCCTAGATAAATTTAATTGGATGTAAGTCGGGCTGTTAAACTCGCTCGTATGAGCTGTGAACAGATTCAAGCGACAACAAAAATGGCCCTTCTTTTTACAGAGGTCTCCGTGAGTGCATAGCCAGAGCTACAAGCAACCAGTGCCCAATCGTGTTAACTGAACATAGCAATCATAGAAATCCAAGAAGCTTGTTGCTCAAACAGTAAAGTCAGAGCATGAACAGACAATCGAAGTATTTTTTGTTATATTGAGTTATATTAAATGTTTTTTTAGTAGTAGGCCTATTTCATATACAAAACATTTAGCTACAAGAGAGATGGCTAATTTTGTACATTTCCATGAAAATGCACGTCGGGGTGCAAACTGAGGAAACTTATCGTTTTAAGTTACGCTACAGCGATTTTATTTTAAAAGACGGTTCTACACAAAATGCTATTGTCTTTGCCGCATAAGACTGGTTTATTTTATTTTTTAATATATTAATACAAAGTTGTTCTTGTATAGGCCTACTGGTAGCGTGGGCTATGCAAAATATTATTTCTGTATATAGGTAATTATTTTCATTTGTTTCACACCCGAAAAGTAAAACGCGACTGATACAGGACTATTGCTTTTTGTTCCGAATAATAAGCTAATAAAAATCTTAAGCAGGTTATGCATCGAAAAGCGCTAAAGTGAGACGATCATTCCTTCTGCTATTATAAAAGAAAAAAGACAATTGATGTTGTTTTCAATAACAATATTTTAAAAACATCAATATGGATTTACGAAGCCACAAAATGTGTATCCAATTAAAGAATACCTTGTAATCTATATTTATAGAGTATTTATCAAATAATATATCGTTAAATATCAATGGAGGATAATGCCTCGCGAAATATGCATCGAAAGTTCTTCATGTCAGAACCTTATTAGACTACTCAACTCCACTGATAATTGTCATTTTTTGCGTTGTGTCCCATAACATTTTTTTTTTGATAAACTGCAATGAAATGCAAATGCCACTTCAGTTACACTGCTTACATGATATACCAAGATGTTTACTTCATATTTGTTTATGAAAATGATCCGATGACAGTAGCCTAACGGAATGGTATTTATTGCGGAAACCAAATTTCCGACATGGCTTGTTGGTGACAAGATAAAGGTATGTAGGCTACAAAACTACTATATGACACCGCATGTCTACACTCTTAGAAGAAAAGGTTCTATATAGAACCTTAAAAGGTTTTAAAGCGCTACGTATTTGGAACCTCTAAAATGCAATGCATGAATGATCACAAAATTCAAGATATGGGGGTTAAAAAAATGTAATTAATCAATAATCTATCACACGAAGAGTGCCATTTCAGTTTGTATCCTTCAAAAACCAGCATGATTAAAATGGTATATTAAGTTACTACAACAGTTTAATAAACAGCAATGTAATTACAACTACAAAATGTTGCAGAATAATGTAATATATGAATGAATAATAGCCTATAAAGAACCTTTGTTTCAAAAGGGTTCTTTCTTGTCATTATCATCTTTTTTTTGCATAAAAGGTCCTTTGCAGTTGAGTAAAGAACCCTATGCTACATATAGAACCCTTTTTTCTAAGAGTGTACGGCACGACTTTTTCTATAAGCAACATAGCGTTTTAACAAAACAAAAGGCCAGCCTACCTTCACTCTCCTTTTTTTGGTAGATATGCAGGCCTTATTAAAACATTACATATTACTCTGCTACATCGGTAAGAACACAGTAAATATTTCCTGGACCTTCCTCCACAAAGCTGATTCACAATTAATTTACAGATATTCTTCCAAGATCGCTTTGAAGTTGGATCCAAGACTAGCACGAACAAAGGTTTGTCGCAACGAACATCGGAAATGCTTATGTTCACCCAGTCCACCAAATAATTTTAATCAAGTTAAAATACGTCTTAGGCTTCAAGGAGATAATCTCTTAAGAAGGGTGGTTGTGTTAAATTTGTAATATTAATTGTTGTTTGTATTTGTGAAATGAGTTAAAAATGTTTAAGCATAGGCTACTCAACGCATTATTACAAAAAAATAATTGTCTGATTCGATTAAATATCTGGTGTACGTTACCCTCATATTAATGATTGAATTGTGTCTACACCAATGGTATTGGATACGTGGTTCCTATATATGGGACACACTAACTTGACCTTCAATTTGTAAGTTGCTCCCGCCCACTAAGACAGGGCTAACGCAAGGGGTGGGATCGGAAAGAAGGCCCCAACATTCTTTAAACAGTCAAAACAATAGTTTGCAAAAAGAGGTTATTTTCTACAAAACTGGATAGTTATAACAACTTTCATTCAACAATATCTGCGTTGTTTGTGTGCGGTTTTTCGCTCTCATTGCAACACGTTTTTCCCCTTTTTTATTTGCTCAGGGATTGTATTGCAGATCACACATTAGCATGTGTCTTTAGTATTAATGAACGTATTCAAAATGCATTCATTGGTTTCGTGCGGTTCTGCATATGACAAGCATATGACGATGCTATATTTCTAGTATATGTATCGTTTTTCTATAGAATTGTGCCATTACGCTGCATAATATTACCCATATAATATTTTCTAATCACTTAAAAATAACTGCAAGGGAATGCGTTCTAGTCAAAGCAAGAGCAAGTCAAAGCAATTATATACACATATACACAAATGCAAACATAATAGAAAAAAGAAACATTCATGCAATAAGTATGCTGTAGTTATTTTCATATTATATATTTTTTTATTTTTGACGTCGTGCCGAACAGAAAAAAATGTCCCATGGCTTAGGGAAACTGCATTTAAATACTTGTTTATATGTTAAATGCTTAAAATGTTCTATAATCCAAAAGCAAGACGTTAACATCCTTAAATACACGTTATTATGAACACGCTGTAAAGAAGTATTTTATAGGCTATTTGTATACTAAATATTACAGCTGGAATGAAAGTTGACGTTGCTGCGAGTAAAAATTGTACAAGTTAATAAATAATAAAACAATGAAGTTTTAATTGTAAAATGTCTTGTTTAGAAGTTAAGAATAACAAAAATTATGGCAGTACATGTAGAGGAATAAAATAAAATAATAAGGAACCGTTCACCCCGTCATTACTGCCCAATATGTATAGTTGCAACAGAAGATTAGGCTTAATTAAAATGTCATTCAGAAAGTTTATAAGAAATTTGCAAAGAAAATTCAAAGAAAGAACATTATTAAAGTAATTTAATATAAAGATAAATGACAATTTAGAACAAACTACACAACAATTTGAGATTCGTATTTTGAACAATTGATTTGCAAATAACTTTTTTGAGATGAAACCTTTTGATGTTAATCTTAAAATGATTGACCTTTATTTAATCAGATGAAATAAGCGTGAAAGAAGGCGTTTTTTTCCCAGTGCGGTTTCAGTGATTGAAAGTTCAACTATAGGCCTATTCAACGCTAGCAAGTTGACACTGCTTAAATACAGAAGTTACCAAACCGCTTCATAGGCTAAATACTATACTAACACGTTAAGACGGGCATATACATGCTTTATTCGTGTTTCAGAGTGTTTATAAAACTACCCATTGTCAAGAAATATTTCTGTCTCTCTCTCATTTACACGCAAGCCTCCCTTTCACAGACATACACTTTCATAATCTTGTGTGCAGTGAAAGCGACGGCAGAATCGACTTATCCCGTCTCTACACGTCTGTGATAGGAGCAGAGCACTTAGTGAACCACGTGACTACACAAGTTTTGTGTGAAGGGCACTGAGGTTCTCAATGACCTCTGAGCCTGGGAGACGAGTCGTCATAAACAGATTTGGCCAGTCTCAAAGTCAAAAGCGCCGCAAGCACATAAAATGCTATTGTTACGATTGCAGCGCATTTGCTTTAAAGGAAGCCAATAGACTTGACACTAGCCATCCCAAAGATCCACTTTATTTGCATTCCAGAATCATCAGTGATTCTCCATTCTTAAAATGTAGTTAAAAAAAAGTTACAACAAATGCTTGGTTTGGTTGAACAAGGTAACCTCGTGATGGCCAATAGTTCCTCCTAAAATCCAGTACAAGTTCTAATTCCTTTTCGTGAGCAATTATAATATATTTATACCATCCAATCTCACGGCAATTCGTACGAATTCATACGACCTCAATCGTACAAATTAGTACGATTTTTGATAAGTCGTACATATTTTACCAGTTACCAATGAATAAATTCTAATGACCTACCCCTGACCCGCCCCTAAACCTACCCATCACGTGGGTTTAGACAAATCGTACGAATTCGCCACATTTTAATCACTTGTACGAATTCGTACGAATCTATACTATAAATATAATCGCCAATTAAAATCCTAACAATCAAAAAGAAAAATAAATCTTCCCACATATATTGATATTTCAGTAATGAACTAAATCCCCGGTCCAAAAAGTCTTTAACCATCCAGTTCCGAAATAGGCAAATAAAGTAGGCTATTGCATGTCCTGCAGTTAGTCCTCACGGGCCTGGTTTCGGCGTCTGTACCATTTATCCACTAGGTGGATGTCTTTACCATTTCCAACCACTTGATAAACCATATCAATATTGTTGCACATGTGGCCATGTTGGCAAACATTCAGATTGCATTTTTAGTTTTCTCCTGAGTGTTAGAAACAACAACAAAAAATTAATGTCTTAACCTTGAAACCATAAAGAGCCAATATGGTCAAAATAAGCATAATGCGATGAAATGTTTCTGAAAACGGTCGTCTGAGCGCCTGAAGTCGGCTTGATAGGGTAGGCTATTACTTCATAGACAAATGTGTTAAAGTAACAGATAACACACTCAGATAACACTCATAAGCCTCCCACATCACGAAATGAGTAAGGAAAATGAAGTTTAAAGACTTTATTAATCAGAAACTGTAGGTTACACATATATGGATACATTCATGAACATTATTTACAAGACATTTTAATCGCAAGGTACAAAGGAATGCGACAGTGGAGCATTCACAAAATTACACAGAACAACACAGAAAAAATTATACATCGGAGACAATTTCACAAAACATTTTAAAGAGGGGGACATGTGACGATAATTTTTATATAGTTGTTGATGTCATTCATTTAATTGTATTTTCTATAGATTCACAAAAATAGGGTTTAAAGCAAATGACAGTCACCAATCTGTCAGATCAATAACACAAAATAAACAAAATGTAGCACCGACTTCTGCTAAATTACTTTATGATAGCTATAATAATAATACTTAATTATAATAATATAATAATACTTAATAATAATAATAGTAATACTTACAAACGAATAAACTACTTTAGATTATACAAACTTCAGTAACGTGTCCATATTAAAACGTCATTTTCAGTCTAAGGTGTTTTAAAATAATACATGCGCCTTTTGACAAAAAATAAAATAAAGAATAGCCGCAATTTTTTTTGTTGCTTTTTTACCTTCTAACTACAGTCATTATCATCATGCAGCAAATATGAACTATTTCACTGGCATATAATCCATGATCTGAGTAAATAATGTTTCTAATAACACAATGGTTCCCGCTAATTAGCAAAACAGGCTCGTGATTATTGGGATATTCTGTTCTGTATGATTGCTAGTTTCATTACAGTTATAAATTGATGAATCCTTTTTGTTTTAATTTATCATTGCGCGTCTTGATATTACTTAACCATGCATTTGTCTCCCAGAAGCATTGTTGTTGAGAATTAATTAAGTAGACCTAAGCGAATATGTCCAAATAACGCAGATCAAGGGACGAGCTATCGTTAATGGGAAATTTATGCTGGTAAAAATGCAAATATAATGGGGACGAGTTTAAAGTTTTTCACTAGATATATCAAGAATAAATATTTTATTAGCAGGACGTCGCGTTTTTTGCGGCTTTGCTGCAGGCCTACTAATTTACACTTTGGCCAATATCTAGTTGTTGAAGTAGGTAATCTCCTCACATTTGTCAGAATGACATTTCACAGGCTAGATCAAAGTCTATTCATAAAAGCTGTTCTGTAATTGCAGTTTGGTTCTCAAGGGCCCAAGATATGAGTTGGGTCACTAACTTGACCGTGAACGTGCCTTAGAACACGTGGCGATGACTGCGGAACGGAGATAACACTTTGATGGCTTAACGCGTCTTATGGTTGAGGACTGAGTTTGAAAGGCTCTTTCCTAGCGATAACTGGCAAAATGAGATTACGAACAGTTAAGGATTCTCGTTGAGACAACATATGGAGTTTCAGTCCATTTTTTTAAGCTTAGAACACTGATCATGGCACGAGTGTGTTATCATTTTAGAAGATCTTTTAACACTCCGACAATAAATATTTAGCGATCATTTCAATATCGTTAAGACTGATAAGAAAACATTTTACTGTCCGAAATTCTATCTCACAGCTTATAATTGTCTGAATTTCTAACTAGCAGTTAATTACTCAAAGTAACTTAAGTGAGAGATGACTTAGACAGCTTTTTACTTTCAAAACTTAGACTAAAGCATTACCATGTACATGCCCACAATTGCTGGGCACAGACCCTCTTAAATAAACACTAGACCACATAGTATAAGCAGACTTTTGGAGTTATCATTTGGTCGCGTACCCATAAATGTTTCAACTCTTATTCGCGTTTTCTGAATGCGTCATGGGGCAAGACTTTCAGAGTAAAATGAGCCAATGGCAGATTCCCATTGACTAAATACTGCTGTTGGACTAGCATTGAGCAATGTATAATGTGTGCCTCCTTAGAAGAAGGACAACGCCTGCTCCCTTAGTAACAGTCTCTTTTTCTTCATCCGCCGATTTTGGAACCAAATTTTAACCTGTTGGTCGCTGAGATTGAGCCTGTCAGACAGCTCCCTGCGTCGCTGCCGGGTGATGAACTCGTTCAGCATGAACTCTCCTTCAAGCTCGGCCAGCTGCAGTTTGGAATAGGGCTTTCGCTTCTTGCGGGTCCGGGTGTGCATCGGGTACCACGGGGCACCTAGGGGCATAGCACGGGTTCATGAGAGAGCTTCAAAACATCTTAGGCCAACACATCAACAACATCAAGCCACGTAAAATACTAATTTCAGGTGCATTTTATTTTGTGAGGCTGTTAATATGACAATTTGACATGATTCAATGACAATCTGAAGTGTGATGCAAGCTGTCGATATGACGAATGTATCCGTTTACACAGAAAGAAAGTCTTAGAACGTTTTACTGTTCTAGTTAAATGTACATTAACGCGCTAATTGTCGTTTTGCGAGAACCCTACTTATTTAGCGGTTTTAAGGCATATTAAATGCACGGCAACTGATATTAATTCAGTTTACGAGTCATTAAAACAAACGTCCTCTTTTCTCTGAACAGAGCAATTGCCATTGTACAAATCTGTTCTTCTTACTAAAATAACGTGAAAGCTTCAGCAAAACCCACATATATCAACAATAACTGTGCTTTTAAAACAGCGCCAAACATTGGCAACGGGATTGTTGAATTTTATGATGTTGTGTTTACTGGTTGTATAAATGACTGAGCGCTTAAACTGGTGAACGTGGAGCATTTTAGGGCAACCCCTAGTGGCCTTGAACAACCACGCAAGATCCATGCAGGAAAATCATAACAGTTGCCAGTGAATGCCTAAATAAACCGTCATGCAAAATAAATAAATAAAAAAAGCCGGAGCAAGACATTTGTACTGTGTGCTTCTGTTGCCCTTTTCAGTTGTGATTAAAAGCGAGGGACAAACCTCCTCCACTGGCGATATTGCTTGCGTGGTTTCCTTGCGATATCAGGGTTTGTGGATCGCCTGCTGAAGTCTTTCCTCCTTCGTTTAGCACTGAAGAACTGGAGTCGGACTCCAACGACTGACAGGATGGCGGGTCTTGGGTCAGATGTTCGGTGCCATAATCATACTTTGAGAAGGTGTTACTGTTGCCCATCCCATTGTGCATCCCGTGATCAGACGATACTGATGTATCTCTCGCTCGCTCCTCTCGTTTGAGATTGTTGCTCTCTGAACACGGCTCTCTGGTGTTGCTGGAATTGCCATAATAACATTTGCTTTCCTCCAGTCGGGTTATTTCACAAGATCGATTAAAAGAGGGGTTAATGGATACGGGACTGCTAAAGTAAGACTGAGGATATCCATTGCACGACTCCGATGGATTCCACGGGAGAGAGCAAACATTGTCCCTTCTAGGGTACGAGAGAGACGGTAGCCCCGCCAGCTGTCCCCCTGAGGCTCTAAAATTCGGGAAGTAAAACCTGTCTCCAGTGTGGATGTTTACCAAAGGTCCCACAAACCCAGGATTAAGAAGATTATGCTCGCCCATTTCCGCGGGCCAGACCAACAGCTTCTAGTTTATTGCAATCTGACATTTAACGTAGTTAAACCTGGAGGTGCACCTGATTGGTCATCTCCACGTCACGTGCCGGAGCTTACTCGAACACTAGAAGGTACCACCCACTTGGTCCATTTCAGACAAAACAAAACATTAACTTCTGTATAACGGGTTTTATATGCTTTTTTAAAATACTATAAAATATCTTATTAAAAATGTAAAATCCATTTTTTTCTTTTCCCCAAGCTCAAAGGTTCTTAACTGATCTTTCACTTTCCTGTTTAGAAATATATAGAAGTGTCCCTAGCCTCGTTTAATCTTTATTACATTGACAAAAATAAATAAACAAATAAAAAAAATAAAAAATAAATCACCTTTTCCCTGTACAATGAAAAAACTCCTTCCCCCTTGAAGATGAGGGTGGTTTTCGCCATTGTTTTCAAACAAATTACGGTTGAATTCAGTGTCAAATAAAGATGTGATGTTCATCTTTTACAGGCTTGTTTTAAAGAAATACTGATGCTCAGTGCTAAACTCCACTCATATTTACTGTAGTGGGGTCAGCAGGTTGAAACCATTGGCTCCGTAAAAGAAGATGATATTCTATAAGATTTTTTTAAAAGACCGTAGCCTATATTTGAGATAATATGCTCTAGTACACCCACATGAACAACTTTAACAGATACATCCTATAAATACTCGCAGTCAAACTCATGCAGAGTTGTTACACATCTCGCAATTCTTTTATTTGAATTTTACAAGCTGGCAGAGGGCATTAAAATGATTCTGCCGCTCCAAATACACCACACAGGATCACATTAATTGATTTTTGATTGTAGATATATAAAATACAAGCACATTTTCCTCATTTCAAATGTAACGCCGTGTCATTGTCACGTGTATTATTTGAGAACATAATGAAGAAAAAATAAAGATTAAGATGACAAAAAGACAATAACAGGCTACGCATTAAATCCTCGCTCCACATGTGTTTAGGTAACGCAAAGTTGATAGAACAGAAGTGCAATTCAGTGTTTGTCCAATCTTTCAAGCCTTCTTATTTTGTAGGCTATTGTATTTTATTTCCCAACTTAATAATTAAAAATGAATACACTGGGATTTTCAGTCTTGTATTTAGTGTCAAAAACACTGTTTTGAATTATATCCATTTTTATCTCTGCTTTGGAAGTGGAATGCAAATAACCAAGTTAAAGGTTGTCATATGTGGACACATCTGTCATATTTACAATATTTAAAAACGATGTAGGCCTAATAAATATGTATTTTAAAAATATATATATATATATTCGGATTGATTGATACCGTCATAACCTTTTTAACAATATTTTTTTATTTTATTTATGCGTTTGCTTAGCATCTCGCGCACATGCTCATGGTGACATATTTTATAAAGGAGCAAATTATATTTGCCTTCGATCATTTTAAATCAGTTGTATTTTCCGTGTTTATTGCACGAGTCTTTGAGAAACGGTAACTTTGCGTCTGCTGTTGATCTAAAGCTTGTGTCAGTGTATCTGTGTGGGGGCGTGTTTTAATTATGTTTAGTGGATCTTGTGTATTTATTCATTTCTTTTTGATTGTTTAGTCTACTTTCAAATAAAGCGACAAAGGCAAAATAACCACAAACAACTTCATTAATGGCGATGAATAGGCAAAAATGCAAAGGAAATCCGGTGTTCAGTTCTTTACAAATGTAACAGAGATCCAAAACAACCAAAAGACTACAAATGATGTCCTCCAAATTGCCCAAGGATTATTACATCCAAATTTGAGAGACACATGTGCATGTTTACGGCTAGACTACTTCATTCCAGATTCATGTAACTAATTAACATGCATACTTACCACATCCATTTACATTTTAAATACTATCAGATATTTCACTAAAATGTCAGGACATTTTTGAAACTATAAATTTAAATCACCAAATATGAAGCTGAGACATTTAGTCACTATTCTTAGAGAAAACACTCAAGCTACTTATTAGACTATTCAGCTGTGTCATTTTCTTAGTAGGCCTACTTCTTATCAGTTTTTAGTAAGAATGTTTCATTATTTCCACCCAAGAATAAAACTGAGTACAAGTTGTTCAAAGAGTAACTTCTCACAATGGGAGTGAACAACGCTATGAATGACATTTCAACAACTTAATGTAGGCTAGTCAAAAAATTAGGCTAAATAAATAAATAATTCGCCTCAACTTGAATGTCTCAAATAATATCGCTAGACGTCACAGTAAAAAGATTATGTTCTTACCAGAAGGATGGCTAAAGTTGATGTCTCCAAAATCTCTGGAAAATGGCTAAAATAGTTGTTAGTTCAAGGTCAGTGTCTAGTGCACTGTCTGCGCCGGTGTGAGATTGCTGTCTTGGAATCTCTTTCCCGTCCAGACAGGGCCATGGCGTAAACAAAGGCCTTTTTATTGTCTTTGATTTTGGAAGACAGGTTGGCTCAGTGAAAGCCTTGCAGTAAATGTCCTTCGAGACCAATTTCTCGAGGAAACAAAAACGTATACATTAAAATGTGAAATAAATGCAAAATTCCTGTTCTTAAATACTTGTTCTTAAATACTTTAACTCAATTTGGAGAAAGGATGAATGTTTGATGATATAATCGGGTATCAAAATAAACTTTAGAAAATGTAATAATAACGCTAACTACAATAGTAAATTAAAATAATGACCATGACAATAAAAACACAGCTTTAGAAAACATCGTAGAGAATTAAAGACGCAACTTCCAGAAAAAGTGTGTATAATGAAGATCTCACAAATTTAACTAATACGTTTGCATTATTGCATGCATATTTTAAAAAAAATAAAAAATAAATAACAGGTAGAATTGTTGTTTTAAATTAAGTAATTATAAATTGAGCTTAAATAGGACAATTGTAGCAAAAGTGGTTCAACAGACTTTACGGCGATTAAAAATCGCAAACCTGACCTACGTTTTTGTTCATATTTATTTTTTATTCTATATTTATTTATTATGTTGTTTCATGGACTGTGCAGCTCGTAATATTCTAAGTTTATAAAATACAAATAGAAAAAAAAATTATAGATGCAAATCTGGTTCACATTGGAAGAGATGCAATTCATCTTAAATACTATCATATAATATACATCATATATAAAATAATAAATATATAGCCTATTATATACATGTGGCAATTAAATCAGCCGCACTAAGCAAGACTAACTTGCTTCGTAATCTACATTTACAAATAAACCCGGCGTTGTGCAGGCTATTAGAAATATTGATGGCTCTTTGAATCGCTTCTATTTCTCTCGTGTAAGGCGCTTTGAACACAAACATCTGCTAAATGGATAAATGTAAAGGTCGATATAGTTTAATCAACACAACCCACAATCATACAATTCAGTGTCCGGTATGCGTAGCATGCCTTTTCGTAAACACTATAAATTCATTAAATATGCACAACAAATAAAGCCTACATATTACTAGTTTGTTCGCTATCTTCTTCTTAAATTTAACATACATACTCAGTAAGAGTAGGTCTACGTGTGCCAGACAAAAATGTAAAGACGTGTGGCAAAGCATGTGTCTTCGTGTTGAGTCTACACTGCTCACTTCCTGATATTTCCACCATACGCCACCAGAGGTTATCAGCCCCCTTTCTGCTCAACCCACTGATCTCTCTCTTCACATTCCAGCTGCTCAGTTTAGAACCGGTGAATAAAAGAAAACCCTTCGTGAGCACATTTTGCTGAGCAGGCCTTTTGCACGGAACATTTATAATTTGAGTAACATATCCCCTGAAACCATATAGTTGTGAAAAGAGTTTATTTATATATTTATTTTTCTCAAATTCGGTATGAGTGCCTGCTTTAAAAATTGGTATGTATGCATGCATTTAAACAAAAAATATATATGTATACGTTATATTTATGTGTTTAAATAAATTTAAGCAGTATAGGCCTAATATAAGACAATGTGCATATACGTGCAACAGTTTTGTTGAGTTTACAATTAATAAACCAATGCAATGGTGAGAGTAAGAGAAATAATTCTAAATAAATGCATAACATAAATAATCAAATGATCCGATTTCTATATAACAATAACACATTTTGTCCATATGCAAGACCTGCAAGTGTTATTGTTATTCTAGTAAAAAAAAAATACAACTCTTTCTATATTTTTTAATAGCAAGAAATAGTTCCCAAAACCAACAGGTTTGAACTAGTCTGCAACTAATTATGAGAAATACAGTTGTTTAATCGAGTTAATAAGTTGCATTCTGACAATTGAAATCCAACAATTTAATAAATTACTTTTGTTGTTTTTGTTTTGTTGCTGAGAATAAATGATCAAAAAATTACATACAGCTATAAATTAAAGAAAACAAAATTGCAAAGCGTGACGCTCACGTGAGTAGGAAGAAAATATATATATTTCTTAGTAATCTTTTCCTCCCATTGCTCATAATAGTTTTGCGTATTTGTGAATAGGCCTTGCGCCTATAACCAGACAGAAAATGGTAGCTTGAGAGAACAAGTGCATCAATAAAAGACACAAAATAAATTCATATCGTTCTATATAAATTACCTACTCATTTCCATATTTAAAATCAAGGCAATGCGCATATTCACTACAAATAAATAAACTAGCCGTACCTTTTGACGAGACCCTGTGGAGGATGCATCTCTCGATATTTGGTAAGAAGTACCCATTCCTTGGCGCGCCTATGGAAATAACACAAGATGACATCTCTGAGCACTGTCTTTTGCAGACGTAAATGCACTACCTGCCTTCGTGGTCAATATAACACCTCATGATGAGAGAATACAACCATTGGTGGGTTAAAACTTATAAAAGGATCGCGGAAGAGAAAAATGGTGTAAGTAGTACAAAACGGGGGACTGAAAATGTACACAGTGTACATTTTCACAATGACAAGGATATTGGATAATCAGAGCATTTTCCTTTTTTTTATGTATTTATGGTATGTCATTAACTCTCGCCGTCTAGACAGGGAAATAACACCTTGTTTGCCTGAAAACAAACCACGGGCAGTGGTGTCCAGCCCCTTTGTTTATTATTCACAAGACTCTGTGATGTCAAGGTCAAAGCGACTGCATAGTCATGGTCAAGGGTAACGCGCGATCACGTGACGTTAAAACACACGGCTTAAGTCATGAAGTTTATATTACATTTCTCGGTTTTCAAAGTAACCAACTTCAACAAAATATACAAATGCTGATAGTTGACTGATGACAAGAAAGTTTGACCAGTTACAGTGTGTGTGCTTCATACGTGCTACTGAGGGGGTTACCCAAGCGTTCGTAAGCAATTATTATTTAGCCTACCAAATTGTTTATTTTTCGTATAATGGTTCTTATATTTAAATAACTCATGTATACATCGACTATATAACTCTGATATAGGCCTACATTTAATAGAATTCCTTATTTCATGAATGAATACTAATTCTATAGAATTTAGACAAAAGGGAGTTAGCGACGCCTTGTTGTAAAAAATAATAAGTAGGTTAACTTTAAAAACAGATATTTTTATAAAGATTCAAGAACGTCCAATCATTTCTTAATTATAACTGAATTTAAAAAATGTAACACTGTAAATAATATGATCATTACGTTATGACAACGTATGTTTTTACATTGCTTTAACTCAAAATAAGTTAAGCAATTTTCAACTGTTTTTATAAGTTACGCTATAGAAGAATTAACTAATTTTTTAAGGTCAATTTAATATAATTTAAGTTGCGACTTAATTTAAGAAATGACTGAAACTTCCAAGTTTATGTAAGTTAATCGCAGCAATTTTTGTTTTTACTGTGGATATGTTGAAGCATTTAAATATGCGTATACACTGCCACCAGCATTACATTTATATGGCGTGTCATAACTAAAAGTATTTAAAAGTACACATTTTACAGTGTTTCAGGTAGCTTTATTTACCAAATGTTGAAAATTATTATAATATTACTAAAATACTAATGTTATTTTAGAATTAAATCATTTTAAGCAATCATTTTAATACAATGAATGTTGTACCTCCGACCATACCTTAAGAGCCGAACGGGATAGTACTCACGAACCAGTACCAAACTGTGAAGAACAAACTTATCTGAATGTTGTGGTGGCATATTCATTGTGACGTTTCATTGAAGATGAACCTTCTTTCACTTTTATTCTTCAAAATTAGCTAAACTGTAAAATTATAGTCCGAGTAAGACATACATTA